TTCATTAAGTACATGCTATGCTCAGAATCAAATTGAAAAACTTTTATTTGTGACAAAAACTTTGAATTGTAAATTGCATGCTGATCGGCACGCAATTTCGTTTAAGGGATAGTCAGTGTTGTGCAATTTCGTTGTACAAATGTACAATGATTTTCTATGGTGATAAAATATTATTTTATAATAATATTATGCTGTCAGCCCTATTACTATATATTATGATTACTATAATTAAAGGTCGTAGCAGATTGTAATACTACTTCGTTATCAGAAAAACTCTGATTATCATATTATACTTACATTATTCTGGGTGCATTATTGTTAGTAATATTAATATTAGTAGTATTATTATTCTGTGATTCCTAAATTTTTTTTTCTATTTATTTATAATAAAATAAAAAAATCATCTTTACATTCTTGTTAATTATATTATCAATTTAAAATAATTAATAGTAGTATTAAATATCTTCAATCATATACGTAGTTAATTCCACAATATAGTCAAACCTTGACACAGCAGATGAACAGTACACATAAACAAATTTTATTTAAAATCCGTTGTGGCAAGATTACTAAATACTAATACTAATCTTGCCACAGTGGATTTTTATATATTTTTACATGTGATATGCGAAGCAAAAAATTTTAAAAATCCGTCATGACGAAAGTTACACATATATATTACATTTGATCAACCAATAAAAATTATCATAAATCACATGATATGTTCGTACAATGTACTAAAAAAATTTTAAGCTCATACATACGTGTACGATACGTGCATGTGTACGTGTACGATTCCCAACCCTGATATATTACATACAGAGTCCCAGGACTTATGATGATCATAACACTTTAAAATAGGCAAGCTCACCATCAGTTTTGTAGCCTTGGCATATTACAAACTGCTTAAGATCAATTTCCCTGATTTAAATATAATAATAAATCATTAAAATAAATCAATATAATAAATAAAGACATTTTCTTAAAAAACAAAGCAAATTAATAAATTTACCAATTTAATTCAACATATTCTCGAAGCATATTCATTTCCTCATGCAATTGTCCAGGTATAGGAACCAACCAAGGAATTTCTGAATTTCTTTTTAGTTTGATAATATGATGATATGGAACATCATCACATTCTACTGCAATCCATTTACATGTTCCATCCTCAATTCCTGATATTTTCTTTATGTGAAAAAGAATCTTTTCAACATTTGCAATTGAATTAGAGTTGATATTAATGGGATCAGGAATATAAATCTCAGGAACATTAACGCCTTCATCAGCAACTGGTTTTTGAGTAATACTAATACATGGATTAGTGTTGGTATTAGAATCATTTTCCAAATTATGTGGTATAAAGATAGTTGGCTTTATTAATTGATCTGAAGAACTTGTTTCTGATTCAGGTGGATTTTGTTGTAATTCAGATAATTTGAGTAGTTGAGTATTGCATATTGGACAATTCTGTTTTTGATTTGAAATGACCTTTTCACCATAGTTCAGGCATTGTTTTTTTTGCAATTCTTCTTTGAAATATTATTTGCAATAAAAGCTTCAATATTATTAGTTGCAAATGATTTTTCCCTACATAGCAGATCAAGAATTTCCAAAAGATAAGTATGCAATTCTTTATTAATTTCTTCTTCCATCTGAGGAGAAATATCAAAAAGTTATTTGTATTGTAATCTATTTAGAGAAATATGCAACCAAGGTGTGTTGTTATATTGCATTTCATTTTGTGACTCCATATTTAAATGCAACAAAACTTGTGACTATATGATAGATAAATCACATTATTAAATCCACGATCAAGATAATTTTTTTGCCCTTTTGTTCATTATCAAATGCAAGAAATAAAAGTCCATTGGGCAAAGGTTCTTCTTCTCCAGCCAATCTATCTAACCAATTTTGAAATGTACAATAACTTCCTGAACTTGTTATGTGATTATCTATGTTAACAACTTTTTTTGAATGTGCCAAGGAATATTTGATAGCTGATGCTGCAAGATTAATTTCTGATACATATTTTCCATGGTGTGAACCATATATTGCATCAACTGCAATAGCTTGCTTAAAAAGTTTTTCTTGATTTACATCATCAGAATTATTATTCTGTGTTAAAATTTTGATGAACCTTACAACAACTTGATTACGTTTATTTAACCAAGATTGGGTGAGTAATTCATAAGATTTTCTAATGAAAACCTGTCATTATTCCTAATTAGTGAATTAACATAATCATAAACTGATTCACGTTCAGTTAATGCAATTCTTGTTACTGCTTCAAGGCGTTCTTGCTTATTACTAAACTGAGAATTCCACTGGTTCATAAAAATTTCATTTTTTTTAGATTGTTCTTGATATTTTTCATTAATTTTAGTTGTTTGATTATATGAATTGTTTAATTTTTTTTAATTCTGCTATTTCATTATTTTTATCCTTCAATACTTGTTCCATTTCTGAGATTTTGTTATTAAGATCCATGATAATTCTGGATTGTTGTTGAAAATTTTGAAAGATCAGATTCGTTATCAATGATTTCATCTTGTCGGAATCTTTTATTTTTTTGAATTAATGGTTCTGGATTGACAAGGTTCTTATAAAAAATTGTTAGTAGCAACTATTTGATTGTAATGTTTTTCACACAATGAATAATCTTCTAAAAAATCAATTGATAAGATAACTCGGGAAAATACTTAATCAATTTATTTATTTTTGTAGCAGCAGCAGATGATGATGCATGCTTCCAAGTCGGTGAGTCAGGTTTACATGGCCACAGTTGACTCTCTGGATATTTGCCAACTATATCTTCAAACAAACATTTTAAATTCTTAGCTAGTTGCCTTGTATTCGCCATCTCATAGGCATAATTAGAATTAATCTGGGTACTTCCAAAAAAAAAAACAAAAAAAAAATAGTAAATAATCAAAAATTCAAGCCAAACCTTGGCTCATATTGAGGGAAAAAACTAATGTGTAAACCTTTTCAGATGAAGACGGATTAATAAACTGTATATTCAAGAGAGTATATTAACTATTTTTTTAAATAAAATTTTCTATATAAATGAACTATATGAATCAACTTGTTTTAACCTAAACAACTTTAAACAATTTTGGCTAATAACAAAAAGTAGTTTGGGCAATTTCAGCTACTAATAGAAGCAGTTTCGGCCCGAAACCTTAGTTATGAATCATTTATAAAAAATAGTTCAAACAAAAGAACTTTTATTAATAAAAAAATTTTGGAACCAAGTGAAGAACATATTTTACATCACAATGATAAAATTTTAGTCAAGACTCAAGAGGGCTTTATTGGTAAGTAGTATAAATCAATTAATTTACATATATGTTTATGTTTGTATGTTTGATTAATATTTTATTTATTCAATTATATTATATAGAAATGCAATTTTTTGAAGATGCCAAAATTGATCTTGAAAATCAACTTAGAGAAGTAAGGGATTGTAATAACAATGACAATAATGCTGGTAATGATAATAATATTATTATTAAAGCAAGACAATTCAACAACAACAACAACAACAACAACAACAAAAAAAATTAATATTTTTGAAACAGCTACCACCAGTTACAAGAAAAGTCATTATAATCATTGCCTTGATGTATGCCACAGGAAAATTCAGATTGTTAAAATGTGAGCCAAAGCAATCTCATCTGTTGTATTTCTAAACGAAAAGGTTTTTTTATCAGAAGCCCAAAAGCAGATAACCATTGGGCATGATCTAGAAGCCAATTTGACAATTAAACACCCATCTGTTGCAAGTATACAATGTATACTTACAATTGTAAGTAACAATAGCTTAATTAATCATTCATATCTATTATATGCACATATTGAAATCATTATCATTTCTATAATAATATTATTATCATTTATTATCCATTAGAGAAAAACAGACAAAATGCATTATGTCAAGGAATTAGATTTGAAACAGTTGTAAAAAATGGCTGGAACAGGAGAACTTATGTTAATGATAAACAGTTGAAATGGAATGAAGAAAAGATTTTAAATAATAATGATATATAGAATTTCAATCAAGGTTGAAGGGGGCTTTTTTGGTAAGTAGTATAAATCAATTAATTTACATATATGTTTATGTTTGTATATTTGGTTTATCTTTATTTATTCAATTATGTTTATATAGAAATACAATTTTTGAAGATGCCAAAACCAATTATCTAAATCTATTTACAGAAGAAAAGAATCATTTACCTGCTCAATCAGGAGAAAGATATCATGTTATAAATAATGAAGATGGTAGTAGTGACTGGCAAAACATGCATAGTTAAAAAAGTTAGATCAAATAATTGTAATGATGAAAACATTTACACCACTAAAATTATCAATGTCAGTGATGGAAAATATGACCAAAACAGAATAATTGAATATAGAAATGAAATTGATATCTTGAAAACATTGGGCCATGAGAATATTATAAAGGTAGCTGATGATTATTTTGATGAGGAGAATATAGTAATTATTTTACCTTATTTTTGTGGAGGGAGCCTTGAGGACTATATTAAAACATTAAATGGTTTTATAAATTTCCAACATTGGAAAAATCAGGCTTTCCAAATTTGTTCAGCTATAAAGGCAAGAACATTTTATTAATATTGTATTCAAATATTATATGTGGGTTGTACAAAAAGTTTTGAGAAAATGCATGTAACTTTATAAATTTGAAGGCAATTGATTTGAAATTTTTTTTAAATAAAATACAGAGTTCCCATCTTTAAATAAAAAAGGCAAATATTTTTTTGATTGCTAATTATTGAGATATTAAATTTTAAGATTAACAACAAAAACAACTGGAAATTTTTTGTTGTAAGGTACATAACTTGATGATTTTAAGTGTAATAATTTTGAAATTCTTTTATATAAGTAACATTCTTCTCATCTTTCAAATAAAAAAAAGTTTACTTTCTTTTACCAGTTAGTTATTGAGATATTGAATTTTAAAAATTATCAACAAAAACAAGCCTTGTACATTGGTTATCTAAAAGGTTGAGAAAAGCTAAAATAAATTAATGCATTCCTTCAAAATAGTTCCCATCATTATCTATGCATTTTTGTAGCCTATTTTTCCGATTTTCAAATGATTTTTGATAGTCCTCTGTTGTGATGCCATCTGTGATTGCTTGAATTGCATGTGCAAAGTTTTCAATATGATCAAGATGCTGATTTTTTAGCTCTTTTTTAATTTTAGGAAATAAAAAAAAGTCACAAGGAGCTAAATCTGGGCTATATGGAGGGTGGGGGAGCAAAATAAATTTTTCTCTTCTAAATACTCTGTTACAATTTTTGATTTTTGTGGAGCAGCATTGTCATGATGCATCATCACATTTCTGTTTTTCTATTTTTTAATTCTTTATATTTTGAAAATACAATATGCAATACATTTGTTCTATAAAATGTGCCATTTAAAGTCTGACCTTTTGGTACAACAATTCTTGCCACAACACCTTCTATTGAGAAAAAAACACAAAACATCCTTTTTTTAGCATTTTGTGCAGTACTGGCAATTTGCAGCTGATTTTCCCCACTTTAACCCATGTTTTATTTGATTCTTTACTTGGTACAGTATAAAAATGAAACCAAGTTTCATCGCCTGTGATAATATTATTAAGTCCATTATCAAGGATTCCTAACAATTGCTTAGAAATTTCAACCCAATTTTTTTTATTTTCAACAGTTAAAACATGCAGGACCCATTTTTTACAAATTTTATGAACTTTTAATTCATTATGTAAAATACTTTGAATACTTCCTCTAGAAATACCTACATTCTCTTCAATAGCTGTAATTGTCATATGAGGATCATCACTAATTAAATCATCAAATTTTGCAATGTTTTCAAGAGTGGAAGTTTCTTGAGGACATCCAGAATGTGAATCATCTTCAACATTGTTTTTTCCACTTTCAAATGCTTCAATCCAACAATAAATAGCATAGTGGACACTGTTGCAGATCAACAGTCATTTGTATAATATGCATGTGGTTACACAGATCCCGTTGCTTCTGAAACTTCACTAGAATATAGCTGTAACCTCTCTAAGTCCAGATCATCAGCAAAATCAAAATTATCTCACACTTTTATAATCAAACTTTTGCAAGAACTTTCACCATAACAAACATTATGTTGATCATTTTTTTGTGATCTGCAACAGTGTCCACTATGCTACAATAAATAGATTAAGGATACTGGCTGCAACTTTTGATGATGGTTGCTACCATCTTTGCATCATATAAAAATGATTGCAACCACTGGTTGCAACCACCTTTACAACCATTTTGTTTCCTTTTTTGGATTGCGACATGGAACACTAAAATAGATGCTAAAGATACTGCATTAGACCCCTCAGCAACCTGTAATTCCTGTTGAATTTGTTTAGCTGGTTTGCTATTTTTCCAGCTAACAAAAATGTAGTATCTTTGGTATTCACGTTTTGAATTTTCCATTTGTTTCTATTGGCAAACTTTAAAAATTTATAACTTAACAACAAATGACTCAATTTGAATGATTTTTTTATTTATTTAAAAGATTGTGGATTAAGGGTTTTTTATTCCCATTTTTACTTTTATTAAAGAAAAGATCATCAAGTTACATATATTTTCTCAAAACTTTTTGTACAACCCACATATATAAAATATAAATATAAATATAAAAAAATATATTTTAAATATGTTTTTTAAATTGTATACACCACTTTATAATTACACCCTGAGTATATCTGTTATTGTTGTTTAAAAATCCTTCTTGTTTTTTAAATGCATCATAAAAAAATCAAGATACAACCTATTATATGATCTTTGTACTATTGGAAAAAGTTGAATATAAGTTATAAGTTAATCAAATATATATAATAAATACTTATTTCTTTAAAGTATAATAATAATGAGAATATAGAATAAGTCTTTACCTCAAGTATAATAATAATTTATTAATAAGTAAAATGTTATCATTCATATTTAAAAAAAAAAAATTTAAATAATAATAATAAATAATAATAATAATGACACAATTTTGATGGACAAGATCATGGAAGCCTTAAACTTTTACTTCTAAGGTAACTTATTGAAATCAAATTGATCAAGTTGATCAAGTTTTACCAAAATATAAAGAAAAGTCAAAGCAATATATTAATATTAAAAAAAATAGATTTTCCATAAAATGGGTTTTGTGCGCAGTCACACAACTTTTTTCTATTCTAAATTCAATTGAAATAGCAAGTTTCACAATATAAAAAAGATCAATGATCAATTTTGTCACAAGTGATAAAATGAATCTCCACTATGCTAATTTGAATAAGTTTCAGTATCACATAGAAATAAAATTATCATTTTTACCATGCTTCATGAAAATATTGTAAAGAATGACTTTTAAATCACCCATATTGTGCTTATGGTTGCTCATCCAGAAATCAATTGGCTGAGTTTCGGCAAGTTATGCACTAATTGTTTATTAGAGTTTCAGCAGGGTTTCACATTTGGGGGTTTGGGCAATTGGCAGAGTTTTGACAAGTTACACACTAATTGTTTATAGTGTTCCATGTTGCAATCCAAAAAAAGGAAACAAAATGGTCATAAAGGCAGTTGCAATCATTTTTATATGATGCAAAGGTAGTAGCAACCATCATCAAAATTGCAGTCGGTATCCTTAATTGTTTATTAGAGTTTTGGCAAAGTTTCAGCAGTCACTAGAAGTTTTGGCAAGCAACCTTAATTATGCCCATATATTCATGTTAAGAAGGTTGTTTGCATTTGCGCAAAATGATTAAGCTTTAATAGATACTGGTATGAGGATTACTTAAATCATCATGCAAAGGGTGCTGGATGTAAAGCAAAAGAGGGCAAAGAACAATTTTCAATCTTTAGAAACTTGTTCAAACTGAAAATACAGAAAGTTCAGAAGAAGAATTTGATTCTGATGTATATTATAATATGGATGATGGTGGCTCACTCCAAGTAAATGAAATAAATGATGATAATGATGATACTTTAATCAAAAGTTTTAGTTGATGATAATATTCTCAAACTATTGGGAGATAAAAATAATATTTTGATCAGGATGATATTATTGAAAAATAATAATTAGTCATATTTTGGTTTTCTTGTGAGATCATATTTAAAGTTTGCTTATTCATCTTAGTAAAAATCCTTGTTTATTTACTTGTTACCTCCATATGGATTGCTCTGCGGCCTATTATAATCATTTAAAATGACATATTTCATCAAGTAAATGGCAAAAAATGGTATAAATTTAATAGTTTACCAGTATCTGAGCTTACAATCCTTCAATGGGTCAATGCTGAATCTTCTGCTCTAGTGAATGAATCCATGTATACACATAATTTCCTTGCTAATTTATTGCACCTATATTAAAGCTTGAAACATTGAACAATCAATATCTTTAAAGATGAACAAGGTGCTAATGAGTGGCCTGATGTAAATGAAAAATTACTTTACATTAACCAACTTTATGAAATTTTTTTGTTGAGTTTGGTTATGGTTCTTTTCATTATAATCATATTGATAATATAGAAGATGATCAAATCAAACTAGAAAAAAATGCACTAGATAGGAACTATAAAAAAATCATAATCATCCTGTATATTCCATTTATATAGCAAATATCTATATGTGTATTTTATGAACTTAAAATATCACCTTTTAACTCAAAAAGTACTATTACATAAGGTTCATATTCCACTTAAAGGTTGCTTGCCAAAACCTCTTAGGGACTGCTAAAACTCTGCTGAAAATCTAATAAACAATTAATGTGTACCTCTGATAAACGATTAGTGTACAATCTGCTGAAACTTTGCTGATTTATTTCTGGAGGGAAACCATAGATCCACTCTATAAGAATGCACTATATATGGAAATGCTGGGATTATTTGAAATTTTTGTGAGATTAGATCAAGACCAGACAGTATTATCCCAATGTATGAACAATCAGAAAATAGTAATGATACAGAAATGATTAATCCAAATATTTTTAATACTTTTGATACTCCAAAACTAAAAAAATCAATTAGCAAATACAGTATTATTCAAATACATCAATAATCAGGGAATAGAGATGATATAGAAGTAATATTCCAAATATTTTTCATATTCTGGGACCAAAGGAATCAACTAGTATATACATATATTAATTCATATTAATTGTTATAATAAAAATATATTGTCATTCATTTCTCTTACTATTACTGTTTTAAACCCTAAAGTTCTAATACCAATAGTATTGAGGGAGACCTTGGGCAATTATATTTGAACTGGTATGCAAAGGACATATAAAAAGTTGTAAATTCAACCCAAAAATTAATGTGTTTTATATCCATTTTTAACATAATTTTATTATTGTCCACTGTAAGTGATTTTTTATTTTCATCCTTTGTAATAAAAACTAATCCAATCAAATTCGGAAACTTAGTCATGTGAGTAAGATATCACGCGAAACTGACTATAGGGCCATTTTTGATCATAACATATGATCGGGTATGGCTCACATAAGTAGATCATTCATTTCAAATAAAATAATAAAAACCAAACCTCTTTGGGTCTTATTACAAAAATTTGTGCCTTTCCTTTGTAGTGAGTCTTAAAAAATCACTCAATATTATTATGATCTTTTTTTTACCAATTATGGACTCATTCAACCAATCCCGAGCATTGTTTAACCAGACTTTATCTGTAAATAATAATATAACCTTGTATCTATCTATTTGTTGTTAAAATGACTATATTAATATGCTAAAACTTTATTTTCATCTACATTTTTTTATATAGAATAATCCTGAATTATACTCGGGCTAAGTGATTGACCGACTTAATGCTTATCGCGACTTTATATCTATTGACCGACTCATCAAATATCGTTATTATCCATTTAAGTAAAATTAAATGGTTATTACCGACTTGTGTAAATTTTAATATAAAAAGTGTTATTGAAGTTTTTAGGTAACTTACTTACCTATGTAGTTTCCTGGGTCCTCTAAACCCTGAACCTTCTTTGCGAGGCAATTATAATTCACGTGATTATAGTAAAAATGAATGATGTAATTTGTTTTTACTGCGAGATCTTTCTTTACGTCTCTATGATAGTAAATACATTTAGAATCAACGATTAATAAAATAAAAAATAAAAAAATTAAATTCTTTCCCAAATATTTCAAATATTTTCAAATATCACAAATGATAGGCTTTGAATTGACTATTATAGATTTCATGCATCATTATCACATCATTATCTCGTGTTTACACATCCTTTCAGCTGCTTCCATACAAATAACTTCAAGGTTAAATTAATTCTAGAACATCAAAACAATTAGTTACTAAAAAATAGGCAGAGAACTTATTAAATTCACGTTTTCAAAAGTTTTTTTTTTCAAATCATTCATAGCAATCATAATATTTAATAATAATAAAGAATAATAATAAAATGTCGACCAAAGTCTCTGATGCTGAACAAAAATATAAAATTGTTGATGAAATTTGTTCAGAAACAAATTTATATTTAATTCTTGGCGTTGAAAAAACATGTTCATTAGAAGAATTAAGAAGAGCTTATATTAATGTTGTTATCATTATTACCCTCATCATTATTAATTATAACTAATTAATTTCTTTTCTCTCTTACAGAGATCAAGAATTTGTCATCCTGATAAATTTCCGGAATATCCAAAAGCAACAGAAGCATTTCAAAGTAAGTTGTAAATAAACAAATGTAGAAACTTTTGGAGCTTGGAAATTTATAAACTAATTAAACAATTATTTATCTATGAAATAGAACTTTCATATGCTTACGAAACATTGAATAAGTCATCTACAAGACGTGCTTATGATATATCAGGCACAAGTAATTTAGGTAGCGTTAATGGAACAGGCGATGACACATTACATGGTGTTTTATATCAGGTATTTTTTTTTTTTTTGGAGAAAATAATAAAAAAAGTTTATAATGACAATTACTATTTTTTACCTTGGGATGAAATTAGTTGTTTTTGGAGTTTATGGATGGCGACTTTGAAATGATTCGTTCTTTAGTTAGTAAGTAACAAGTTTATTTAAATTATAAGTTATTTATTTTAATAATTGATTTATTTTTAAAATAATATTAATCTCCTTCTCATATCATATAATTAATTGTAGATGCGTTAAATGAAGGCAATCCTGAATTAAACTTAGGTGAAGATACAATTGAAACAATTGAAACTGTGTTCAGAGGAATGAGAGAAACACTTTTAGGTAAAATAATTGTTTTTAAAAAATAATTTTCTCACCACTATCATCATTTTAACTATATAATAATCATCTTTTAATATATATTATTATTATATTATATAGCTGGTAAAAAACATGTTAAAACTGTACAATTTGAATTGATTAATATATATGAACTCCAACAACAACTTCGGTCCTTATCATATCTTGATATTTGGGGTCGTATAAAAATAACGATGCAATTGGCTCGTATAACGTTGACTATACCAATATTGATTGATTCAGCGATGAAAGCCGAATTTAAACAATTAGGTGGTAAAGGTATCATCAATAAAGGACTTTTAGGTGATAGCATGGCTAAAGTTGTCACCGGATTGGTTACTTGTTTAGAAGCGGGTGAACAATACATATAAATATATATGTATTTCTTCCCTCTTCCCTCATCTTTCAATTTTTTCTTTAGCCAACTTAATATATAAATTAATTAGATATATATATATATATAGATATAGATATAAAAAATATAAATTATTATTTATTATTATTTATTATTATTTATTATTATTTATTGTTAGTATTGTTATTATTGTTATTATTATCATTTTTTTTATATATATGTTATAAAATATTCAACATTAATGGATAATGATGCATTATTATTATCGTGAAATAAAAAAAAAAGAAACAAATTTAATCAACTTTTATCGATATGTTGTTGATAAAGGTGTGTATTTTAACTCACTACTTTCGGTAACAAATATTTTCATCGTTTTGAACTTTGGCCGATACTTTTTTTAATAAATGTTTGGAAAGTAATAAGAACTAATCGTGTTTCAACGAATTCACGTGACAATATATCGACAAAAAATTTAATTTTAAATTATAAGATGCGATTAATAATAACTCGCATTCTAACAAATCATGTCGTTATGAAAAAAGCTGTAATTCAAGGCTTCGTTCTAAAACCCATCCAAAAAGACACATAACAGCGCAGTTTCGTAAATTATTACTGCATTGCGTAAACTTTTTTTCTCTATCAATCAATCTCAATCAATTGGCACTTAAAGTACACTGGACGCTCTCATCGGCTAAGATAAACAACAAAAACATGATTAAGATAATAACTAGAGGAGGGATTTTCTGAAAAACATAGACCCAATTGTTTGCCAGTAACCTCACATGAAACGACTACGCCTTTCATTATGGTCCCAATAAGGTCGTCGCAAGTATAAGGGAACACAAAAGGAATGAATAGGAAAAAAAGGTACAATTTAAGTCAACATTGTCTTCCAAATTAAACAAAAGCGTGTGATATTTCACTCTCGAAATTATCAACGAATTTCTATACCCAGATTTTCGTGTCTAGTGGGTGGTACGATGACCATGAATGTAATTCCACTATAGTAAACGCGTGACAAAAATCCTCTTTTTGACTTTTCAGGCGATTTTTTTCTCATTGAAGTCTATATATATATATATTTGAACCATTAAATTTTTTTATTTAATATTAATACTATTTTTGTATGTATAAATATTTATATGTATGTAATAAAAATGATAATTATGATGATATGAATAAATGAATTAGAATATTAATAATGAATATTTTGCTTATAGGAAAATTAAAATTAAAATTAATGTGTTGATGATATATTAAAAATATGTAAAATTAAAAATTATGCAAATATGAAATTAATTAATTTGCTACCGGGAGTCATAGATGGCTCTTTGTAACTATGTACATAAAAATCAAAATTATATTATTATAATATTAATTACCATTCGAAAAATCCTATTTTATAAAAAAATCATAATATAATATAAAGCATAAAACTATATAAATAAGATATATATAATATGTATAAATATATTAAAGAATAGAAGGAAGGAAAAAAGCATAAATTTTCAGAGATACTAATGCCCTAAATAATAATAATAATAATAATAAATATCAAAATTTTGTTTGTATAATTATTTTTTCTGCTTTCTTCGTTCCTTCGAAAATTATTATTCTAATGATAACCATTTGTGGATTTAGAAACTTTATTAGAAATTTTACTAAAATTATCAACATCGTTATTTTCATTCTCATCTATCAATGATTCAGATTTAACACTTTGTGACATCATTCGTTGTTGATGATGATAATTTGGGGGAGGTGATAATAAGTATTGTTGTTGTAAATGTGAAGATGTTGAAGACGATGACGATGTAGAAGAAGAAGATGATGATGTGGTAGAAGAAGCGGAGGAAGGATGAGGTGGTTGATGTTGTTGTTGTTGATTTTGATGATGCTGTTGCTGCTGTTGTTGTTGTTGCAAAGGAGGATGTGGTAGTTGTGGCGATGTTTGTTGTGGTAGTTGTGAAGAGGAAGAAGGATATTGAGAACGATCATCATCGTCATCTACCCATCTTTGCATAACATATTTTGTACATTTTTCTGCTCCAGGCAATTCCTACGTAATAAGGGAGTGTTAATGTAAAGATATATGATTATATAAATAATATATAATAATATGTATTACTTGTATGTATTTTGTGATTCCTAAGTGACTCAGACCCAACATTTCAGGACCACTTGCATGAGTTTTTGAAGGAACGCCTTGTACATTAATTTCATCAAGGATTTTTTTCCAGACACCGCTTGACGAACTTGCACTAAACTTACGTCCTGGTTGATCCTCTGCTGTAATTTGAAACTATAACATTAATAATATTATTAAAGAGAATGAATGAGTAAATTAATTAATTGATTGATTGATTGATTGATCGATTGATTAATTAATTAATTAAAAAATTTTAAATTCCTCTCTATTTCTATCTCATGTTTCTCTAACTCTCGCACATATATATTCATATTTTATATAATTACAAATAATAAACATACAATTGGAGTGTCACCACCATCTAAAATTTCACTTGTATAAGTTGTCCTTCTAGTAACATCAACAGCACTTAAATATTGTTTTTTACTCATAAAACCAACAGGAAATATATAACGATTAGTGTGATAAGCTTCTCTATCCCATACAATCTCACCTAATATAAAGCAATTAATTATATAGCATAATCAATCAATCAATCCAAAAATCAATTTTTTCAAATAATAATAATAAATAATTGTTGTAATATAAGAAGAGTAATATAATAATTTTTTATTACGAATCAAAATATTATATATAAATTTATTCATCTATATCTATATATATATATATTTATTTATACGTATTTTTTCTATTACATTCTATTAATTTATAGATATTTATATATATATATATACATACTAAATATTAATATTAATTAATTACCTATTCTATGAATAGAGACTTCGTTGGTTCCTTTACCAATTGTTACAGGTAATTTTAGCGTATCATCAGGGTTCATAGGTAATGGCTAATTAATAAACATGTATTATATTATTATTAGATATTACATTATGTGTTGTATCGTTATTGGATATTTTGTAAAAATAAAAAAAAATACCTCAATTCTCTTGGCATCAGTACGATCGTCACGCTTCTTCTTCTAATTTTAAATTAGATTTGCCAAGCAAATTTAAAATCAAATTAAGTAATCGCCCAATTAATAATAATAATAATAATAATAATAATAATAAAAATTATAGTGATAATTAAATAATAAACTTACAACAGTTGTTGGTTTACGGCGACGTTTTTGTGTTTGGGCTTCTTCAACAGGAACAGATTCTTCAGCCTACAATAGTCCGTAATAATCCAACAACATAATTATTTTAATTAATAAATTAAACATCAAGAATCATGGTAAAGATCAGCGAGGGAGAAAGTGAGAGAACAGAAACACTGACTTTACGTTTACCGGAAGATTTTGTAGATGAAAAAGACGCTGTTGATGGTTGTGGTGGTGATGGGCGTGTTGTTGTTGTTTTACGGGCAGATGATGACGATGGAGATGTCACTTTTCTTTTACTTTCTTTTGTTAAAGTTTGCTTTGGTTGCTCTTTATTAATAAAAATAATGAGAAGGTGATGGAAGATGAATTGGTTGGTTGATTGGTCAAAAATATTAAAGATGATGTCATCAATTATTATTTATACCGTATTTATTAGTAGCTTGCATTGGAACATCTTCAACATCTTCAGAAGTTGCATCCGATAATAATTCATCAGAAGAACTGCTACTATTATTAATAAATTGATTAACTGATATGTAATACACGATTAGAATAATAGATACAATAATAGTGCTTACTTTGATGCTTCATCAATCAAATAAGGATTCATTTCCATCATCAGATCAATCAAACGACTAAAAATAATTTATTAAATATAAATAAATACAAAGATGCATATATATATATCTCTTCCTCGAATGCTTACTTATTTTCTTCTTTTAATCTTCTTGACCTGTGTTTATTGACTTCTAAACTATGTTTTAAATCTTCCTTTTGCTATGATTAAAGAGTAAATTAATAGGGAAGGAAAGAAAGAAAGATAAGTGTCTCCTTTTCTCGTACATAACACTTAACATTTATTACCTTATTAAGATTCTCGAATTTTTCTTTTAGTTTGTAGTATTTTTCTTTATAAGATCGTGAATCTGTCATATTTACTAAAATATATATATATGGGTTATTGTTATAATGATAATGAGAGTGATAAAGTAGTAAGAGAGAGTATAAAAATTGGAAAAAAATTTTTTTAGGAAAAAAACAAATTTTTTTTTGTTTTGCGAGAGAAAAAAAATGTGGAGAAAAATATTACTTAAATACTAAAATACCCAGAAAATTAATTTTGTCAATAAAAAAAAATGATAATAAAAAAAATTTTTTTTAATATGATCAATAATGACGTCAGTTTGTTAATTTATTTAAATTTAATATTAAAAAAAAGAGAGAAAAAAAAAAAAGTTAGTTTTAAGGTGACACAAAAAGTCACTTGTTTGTCGTCCGTTTTTAACAAGTATTATTTATAAGAAAAAATTGGTTGTTTCTCTGGTATGTTATATAATATGTAATCGGAGTATTTACTAATATTGGACAGGAAAATGAAAATAGAAGATAATGGATAAGTGTGTATGAAAGATATGAATAGATAAGAGATAGATAAGAGAGAGAGAGAGATTTAGGAAATACTGAAAGAAAGAAGAAAGAAAGAAAAAGAAAGAATGTGTTGAGTGAGGGAGAGGATAGGGAGATGAGAAGGAGAGAATATTATTTTATAATTAATTGGGAATTAATTTATATTGTTTGTATGATTTTACTTTATTGCTCTGATCTTTATTCTTTGATGGTTTTTTTTTCAAAACAAAGCAACAATAAAAAAGAAAGCAAAATTAAAAAATTATTGTGAATATAAATATTATTAGTTATTATTATTTATTATTTATTATTTATATATAAACATGTGAAACAAAATATTGACACACTTTTATTTCAGTATCTCTCTCATTCATCTTCATCTCAAGAAAAAACTTTAAAAGTTTGTGTTACTACCTATGCAAAGGAAAAATTATTCCCCTGCCGATACTTATTTAAACTATTTATATTAAATTAATTTTAACTAGCCTGGGCATTGCTTTATTTATTTACTTTGTCGTTTTCAAGACACCTACACTGCCTGCTGTGTGACCTACACCAGGCCAGCAATTGAACCATTGAAAAACGTATCAACTCGCATCCTGCTAGGAAACCGGTCGATCTGTCGGTCAGCCAGTCAGCCATCCAGCCATCCAGCCAGTCAGTCAATGAATGATTCTACTACGTACCTATAGTATCTTTTCCGTATTGAGATGACGACGACCAATTATTTTCTAAAAAAGAGCCTTTTGCCATAAAGATCATTATAATAGAAATTTTTCCACGTTGATCATAAATGAGAGATTGTAACCTTGAATGTTGTGTACAACTATGTTCATTGTGTATTATTTCCTTATATTTAGACCCTTACCATAAGTTTAATTTATAATGTAATACAATCTTAATTAAAGTTTTTCTTTATTATTAACAATTATCAATCGTTAATAAATATATGCAATCATTACTCTATCTATTTATCATTTGTTCATATACCAACTTCCAATTTCATCATATTTATATTCATTCATCCATTCAATTATATAAATAAAAATAAACCAATCATTGCTGTCTATTTTTGCTCTATTCTTTCTTACTTTCTCTAATACTAATTCTTTCTTGAATTTTCAGGAAAAAACTCAAATAATAAATAAACAATTCCTGCTTATTATTTATTTGTTATTAGTTTCTTTTTAAACCTAATCCTTAAAGGAGGATTCTCGCTCCGAATCAAATTTTATTCATTAATTAACTGGATTTTACAAGTTATATCTATTGTAGAATGAATTAATATTATTTATTTATTGATATACATGCAGACAAGTAAACAAGCAGAAAACAAACAAACAAGCAAGCAAACAAATAATAACAAAAATAAAATTAACAGAGAAATTGTCAATTAATTAATAATATTAATTAATAATTTAATTAATAATTTAATTAATGTTATTAATTGATTGATTGATTGATTGATTGATTGATTGATTAATTGATTAAAATTATTAATTATAAAAAGGAATGAATTCAAAATCTTTTCTTTACTTATTTACATTTTGTGTTTGTGCTATATCGAGAAAACTTGACGTTTATGCTAACTGCTTGTAGTGTTGATTTCCAAACTAGAGAATTTCGCAACTGTGCGAAAGTCAAAAGGTCTCGCCATAGTCGAAACTAGTTTTGACTTTTCAATTTTTGACTTTTGATTCAATAATTTTAGTCGACTTTCGCCCCTCCCAAAGTAGTTTTGGCGACCAACACACTAACTGCTTGACAATCAATCAATTTAATGTTATTAGTAAAATGAATCGCGCGGAAATTAACAGCAAAAAAAATTGTTGGTTAGTCAACAAATTTGCGAGAGTATTTGGATGCGAAAATTCCAATTGATTGATTGGAATTTCGCACACGTCAATTTTAAAATTGACTTTTTAGGAAGGTGATAAAAAGTCGTGATTATAGAGCTTCCGCAACATACAACAATAGACATCGTTATTAGCATAATTGGGTGCTATATCAAGATCCCGGATTATATAATATATATTAATATTATTATAATTTCAAGATGTCAAAAGGCAGTACACCATTAAAAAAGAAACTTTTCAATATGTGATGTTTGATTATCATAAATTAACAGACGTTAAAGCATGCATGCTAACTTGAACATTGCAGCCATTCTCATATGTCCCTCATGTACACAAGGCTGATCTGACCACGGTGCTCCTGATGATACAATGTTACAACCAAATTCTAGGGAGGGCTCAAGGCCCTGAGATGTGATGTAAAATAGTAATTTTTTTAATATGATAATTGTGATTATAGAGGTTCCGCAAAAAGGTCATTTAATATTAAGTGGCAAGGTTCTAGAAGATTTTACGGGGATCAAGTGTTGAAATTGTTTATTATTCTTTTTATTAACATTATCATAATAGTAATAGTAGTAGTAACAATAATAGTATATTACTAATACTAACACAAACACCAATGAAAGGAGATCTTCCATCAATGTGGTTGGTTGTTTGGCATTTTTTTTAATAGTTGTATGAAACACGTGGGTATAGCTGTGAACACATAAATTTCCAGGGTAGCAATCAGCTCACTCAATGGCAACATAGTCCCTTGCAAAAATTAGTAATTAAAACTCTATCACGTCAAATATTTCCATAAATGCATCAATGTTAAAGGGGATTCCCTAATTCGCATCTCTTGGGATTTCCATTTTCCGACTCATAGCAACCAGGGACAACATTGTAAACTTCTGTTTTGTTGCTTTCAGCACTTATATTTGGATTGACTAATAGTTGTAATAACATATCCTTCTATTTAGGTATCCACAGACACATAAAATCTCACACCATTACATTACCACAGCTGCTGGCCCTTCCACTTTCTTGTTTCAATTGAATCTTGAAGATCATAATGTTGGCAAATATCGAGTTATTATTATTATCAAAGTATAACTGCATTGTTTCTTTATATTTTATCCAATTGATTATTTAGGCTTTTGCTTTTCACTTGTTCATTGCTTGTTTTGTAATTTCCTCTATAGGAACTTTTCCAATAAAATTTAAACAAGCTTGATTAGTGTCTATATAAAATCTTTCGTGTTTCATCTTTGGCGAAAATACTTATTCCTTCTTAATAATTTCAATGCGTCACTCATTTTCATCTTGATAATTAATATTAATATATATAATATAATATAATATAATATAATATAATATAATATAATATAATATATGTAAATTTAATCAGTATGCTCAGTGATTTGATCAATATTTTTCATATAACTAACAACTATTACTATTACATTAAAAATTATTTATGAAACTAATTTACGTTAAATCCACAATCAGAAATATTTTGAAAAAAAAGAATTTGCTCCTTATGT